TAGAAGGAACACTGTATTAGTTACTTTTCTGATGCTGTGATAAAAACACTGACCAAAAGCAATTTATAAAAGAAGAGTTTATTTGAGCTTATGGTTCAAGGGAATTACAGTCCGTCATGGCAGGGATGCATGGTGGCAGGAGGTGACTGGAGCAGAAGTAGAAAGCAGAGCACTCACATCATCACGCAGGCACTGGAAGCAAGAGAACAACTGGAGATCTGGCAAGGCTTAAGAACTCTAAAGCCCACCCCCAGTGACATGCTTCCTCCAAGATAGCCATACCTTCTAAGACCTCCCAAAACAGTGCCACAAAATGTCCAAATACTTGGAGCCTATGGGGGACATTTTCATTCAAACCACCACACACACTAAAGGCAAACACAGACTGAAGAGACTGAATGAGCACCAGATCAAGAGTCAGATGTGCCAGCAATGCTGGAATTATGATTGGTAACAATTTTGTGTTATAGTGTTATGTATTGTATGATTAATGTGATAAACGACGAGGTAGTGGAAAAAGCAGACTGTAGCAAGGCTAGATGGGCAGTGTAAGCAAAGAATTGGAAATTCTAAGAAAGAATTTAAAAGAAATGCTGAGGTCAAAACACTAATGGAAACAAAGAACACCTCTGATGGAGCTATTAGCAGATTATACAGAGCTGAGGAAAGACTGATGCTTCCAAAATCGAAAAGCAAAGACAAAAGGCCAGAAGGAGGGAGCTGGCTGTTCTTGCAGAGGATCTGGGTTCAGTTCCCAGCACCCACATGGCAGCTAACAGCCATCCGTAAGTCCAGTTCCAGGGGAATCCAACACCCTCTTCTGAACTCTGTGGGCATTGCATGACACAGGTGTAATTACATACATGTAGGCAATACACTCATATACATAAAATGAAAATAATAAATAAAATTAAAGAAAAAAAGACCAGAAGGAAACAAAACAGAGCACCAAGAACTTTGGGACAACTTCAAAAGGTGTCATTAACTGTAGTGGGAATACTGAAAGCAGAGAGAAAGGTAGAGAAATATTTGCAGCAATATTGACTGAGAATTTCACAAAATTAATGTCAGACACCAAACTTCAGAGACAGGAACCTTAAACAACACCAACAGGTAATTAACTTAAAAAATAAAATAAAAACCTTGGGGACAGGGAGATGATTCAGCAGGTAAAGGCACCTGCTGCCAAGCCTGATAACCTAAATTCAATCCCCAGGACCCATTATGGTAGAAGAAAAGAACTGACTCCTGGGCTGGAGAGATGACTCGGCAGTTAAGAGCACTGGCTGCTCTTGTAGAGGATCTGGGTTCAGTTCCCAGCATCCAGATGGCAGCTAAGAACCATCCAACACCCTTCTGACCTCTGTGGACATTGCATGCATTGGTATACTTACAAACATGCAGGCAAAAAGCACTCATACACATAAAATAAAAATAAATAAATTTTAAAAAGAACTTACTTTTGCAAGATGTCGTCTGAGTTCCATATGCATGCTGCCGTACATGCCTCCCCCCTCTCATGCACACATATAAAATAAATAATTTAATAAAAAAGCTAAAAATCTGTATTATATTCAAAATTTGGAAAACCAAAGATGTTCGCAAATAGAACTGAGTGCTTGCTTCAGCAGCATATACAGTAAGTAACATTGTAACAGTACAGAGAAGATGGTCAAGGTTTCTGTGCAAGGATGGCATGAAAATTTGTGAAGTGATCCTGATTTTTGAAAATAGAAGGGAGACTAGCTGGAAAGAGGAAGGAGATGAACAGCAGAGGGAGGGGATGGGAGAGAAAAACAGGAGGATGAAAATGATCAAAACACAACATATGCATACATGAAAATGTCATGCCGAAAGCTATTACTATGTCTAATTAATATTTGCTAATAGAAATTTTAAAACAGAATTAAATTTGCCCTCTCAAAAACTGTGCGAGCAAGAAGGGAGTAGAATGAAATATTTTTAGCTGAAAGAAAAAAAACACCAACTGAAAATCTGTACCTTGTAAAATATTGTTTACAGAAAGAAGAGGATAGGTGTAGACCGGTGTTAGAATGCTTTCACGGCACTCATGAGGTTCTAGTTCAGTCTTCAGCACTGACACAAAACATAATGAGAGAGACAAAGAAGAGAAGGAAATGGAACAATAGGAAATGCTCATGTCAAGCTACAAGCAGCAGAATCAATGTGGAAGCGTGTGTTTGTCATGCTTCTGGCCCCCAAAGGCATTGCATACATGTGGTGCACTTACATCATGCTGGCAAAACACTCGTGCACATAAAATAAAAATAAAGAAATTTAAAAAATTGTAAGTGTAGAAGACAAAGACAGGAACAAAGAAAAAGGGAAACAATAACAAATATGATAGATATTAATATACATTATCAATTATCATTTAATTAATTTTTTAGGTGTATAAACATTTTGTCTACATGTATATAAGCGTACCCATGTGTACAATGCCTGTGGAGTTCAGAAGAAGGTATCAGATCCCCTTGAACTGCAGTTACAGAAGGTTGTTAGCTGCCATGTGGGTGCTGGGAACTGAACCTGGGTCCTCTGCAAGGGCAGCCAGTGCTCTTAACCACTGAGTCATCTCTTATCCATAAATTATCATTTTAAATGTCAATGATTTGTACACATTAAGGATGGAAATTATAAGACTGGACTAAAAAAAAAAACAACAAAAAACAGAAAAACAAGACCCAACTATAGATCCTCTATAAAAAAACCTACTCTAAATATAAAGACATATAAAGATGGAGAAACACATACCATACTAACACTGGTTAAAAGAAAGTGGAAATACATGTATTAATTTCAGACAAAGCAGACCAGATAAAAGAAGCAATAGGGAATAAAGAGGGTATTACATGATGGTAAAGGAGTAGGTACCCCAAGGACCTTAATATATCAACCTAACATGGCATATGAGAGGAAATTGGATAGAATGCAAGGATAAATGCATGAATCCACTACTGAAGCTGAAAAATTTAACTCCCTTATATCAGAATCAAACAGATCCAGCAGGCAGAAAATCAGTAAGAGCACAGTGAGTTTAACAGCACTATCAATCAACGGAATATAACTGACATCTATAGATGACTTCATCTAACAGCAGCAGGTTGCACAATTTTCTGAGTCTGATATGGACCATTAACCACAATAGGTCTCATTCTGGGCCACAAAATACACTTTATAGATTTGTTACTTTAAGTATTAGGACACTTGGTCCCCAGTTGATGGCACTGTTTGGGGAGGTCATAGAATCTTTAGGAGATGAGCCCTTGTGGGAGAAAGTCTGTCACTATGGGCAGGCTTTAAAAGTTCATGGTCTTGCCCCACTTGAAGTTCATTTTTCCTGTTTCCTGTTTGCTATGGAAGATGTGATCTCTGAGCTTTTAACTCCTACCTCCATGCCCGTCTCTTGCTGCCATTTCTTTGCTCCCCCTTCCTGCCCACTCTGGAGCCAACAAACGTATTATTTACTCTTTTCTTGCTGTGTTAAAATACCATGACCAAAGCAACTTATAGAAGAGTTTATTTTGTCTTACAGTTCCAGAGGAATAGGAGTCTATCATGTGAGGAGGCATGGCAGTAGACAGGCAGGGCCTGGAGGCAGGAGCTGAGAGCTGAGAGCTCACATCTTCAAGCACCAGCAAGAAGCAGAGTGGGAGCAACAGTGGGCTGAGGCTATGAACTCTCAAAGCCCACCCCAAGGACATACTTCCTTTAGCAAGGCTGCACCTTCTAAATCTCTGAAACAGTACCACTAATTGGGGACCAAGTGTTCAGATATGTGAGCCTATGGGGGACATATCTCATTCAAACCACCACACTGACCTATCATGAGACATTGAAGAAACATAAATGCTTATGAAGTGTGAAAAGGCTATAAGACTGAATGATACAGTCTAGAAAAATCTACTAAGGAGACAGTGAAAAAATTATTCGTTGGCAGGGACTAGAGGAAAGAGCAGAGTACTGTGGGATTCTTAATATAAGTTATGGACATCGGGTGACAATGTGTAAGTGAAGGCCTATTTAGTGTAACAAGTGCAGCACTGTGGTAGAGGATGTTGATAGCTGAGAAGGTTTGTGTGTGTGTGTGCATGCGTGGATGTGTGTGTGTGTGTGTGTGTGTGTGTGTGTGAGTGTTAGGAGTTGCTTTGGTACTCTTTCTGCTTAATTTTGCTGTGACCCTAAAGTTGCTTTGGAAAATAAAGTATATTAATTATTTTAAGGAGGATGGTGATTGTAACATCTATGCCTTTAAGTATTCATTTGAGAAGGCATCTTTCTTTGCTATTACCAATTGCAATTTAAAATAAAGGAAAAAATCCTTTCTTTTTGGGATACCTATGGCATAGGGGACTACCTGAGGACTAATAGATACATAGTTCACTTATACTGCTCTTTGATAAGCTTTCTGGGTAGCACTCAAGTGATAAATGGAGAATGAATCTCTGAGAGGTGGTTGATGGCAATGATTCCTTTCCTGTCCATACAGGTACAGGGATCCCTGCCTTGGGCCAGGCCCAGAATCATCAAAAAGAAATGCAGAGAACAGGGATGGAAGGGGGAAATAGTTGAACCTATCTGTAAGATTTATTTACTAAAATAAATCTCTGAGAAAAGATTGCAAGTGTTAATGGAAATATTTTCAATACATCAATCCTCAGCACCACCACCACCCCTGCACACAAACACACAAACACACTTAAAAATATTTTGGGGAGCTGGAGAGATGGCACAGTGGTTAAGAGCACTGGCTGCTCTTGCAGACGACCCAGGTTCGAATCCCAGCACCCACATGGCGGCTAACAACTGTCATAACTCCAGTTCCGGGGGATCTGATGCCCTCTTCTGACCTTCACAGGCATTGCACAACTCGGGTGCACTTACGTACATGCAGACAATACACTCATACAGATAAAATAAACTAAATATTAAAAATATTTTGATATGGATACAATAAATGAATTAAGGTTATACGGTAATAAAAGGCGAACAGCTGTACAGTGCTTTTCATACTCGTTTTTCTCTTTTCCATATACTTGATTCATTGAATCCTCATTATGCTCTCTATTTTAACAGCTGAGATGAGAGAGAGAGAGAGAGAGAGAGAGAGAGAGAGAGACCTATCACAAAGGGCAGAGCCAAGTTCCTGAAGTCCCGCTCTCAAGTTGACTGCCGTCTCATCAGTCACCAAAGGATGATCCCCTCCCAGAGGCCCCCCCCACTTCACTTCGTTCCAGAACACAGATAATCCAAGGAAGCTTGCTTTCATAGGCTCAATCAAGCCTGGTTTTCAACAAGCAGTTTATAGAGTAGTTTTGGGATGCTTTTTTCCATTCACAGGGTTCCTTCTGAGCCATAAACTGTGAAGTCCCCAACGCCCCTCACAGAGAGGCACAGCCTGCTACATAGCCACCTGTAAGTCCACACACCCACAGACAAGGGGCCTCTGATTTACTAGGCTTTCTCTGCTGGTCCTCAGAGCAGTTAATCTTCTGCCCCAGGGCAGAGCTTGACAGCTCCCGAAGGTCCTGTGAAGTACTCTTTTCAAAGTAAAATTCTCAATCAAATAAATTTGAAACAGACTTGGTCCCAATCCAGGTACAGCTTCCCACCCCCCCCCCCGCACCCCAACCTGGCCCTCAACTGGCTACACTTCACTTCCTTCCGTTTTTTGAGTCCTGGGGTACAGACTTGGTTTTTCGTCAATAAAATAGTGATTTGAAAGTCTCAACCTTCCTGTTGTAAGCCTGTGCCAAGGCATAATCGTTCTGTTGCCTCCAAGAACACACAAACGTCAATCCCGGCTGTGTGTAGCCCTCCAAGGTGGGTGATATTTCAGATAGACCACGTGTCTGCTCCTTGAGGACTTCAGTTAGAACCCCTTCATCATCCACCTTCTGTTTCTTCACTGGAAGTTTTATTGTGATTCCGTCGAAGAATTCAGCTTCCCCTGGTCATTCATATGATTGATTTCCTGAGTCCTCCAGTGCTCCTCACCTTCGTGGTGCCCCAGCCCTGTCCTCTGTCCTAGTGATGAGGGACTGTGTGGGGAAGGGTTGAAGGGGGGGGCCTGTGTGTGGAGGACTGTGGGGCTTATGGGGGATTGTGGGCGGGGGCTGTGAAAGGCATGGAGAATTGTGTGGGAGGACTTTGTGGAGACTATGGCGAAGGTTGTGGGGATTACTGTTGGGGGGGACTGGGGGAGTGTGTGTGGGACTAGGGGGTTTGGGGGGAACTGTGTGGTGGGGCCTGTGTAGTGGGATTGTGTGGTAGGATTGTAGACTGTGTGGTGGGACTAGGGGTGGGGATTGTGAGACAGAAGGTGTGTGGTACATTTCCAGCATCTCTGGAGCTTTTATTAATCTCATTACAAGTCCATTGCGGGCATGCCATCCCTCTGTGTTCATTTGACCATAGAGTGCACTGATGTGGAAACTGTTAATGCTGTTTCCCTCAGACCCACAGCAGGCTTGTACTGCCTTGCTCCTTCGTAAGTGAGATCATGTGATTTGCTCTGGCCAATGGAACATGAGGAGAAATGCCACGTTCCATGTTCTATCCTTTCTAGGCGAAAATTTAAAAACCAGTGTATGATTCCTCAGGCTCAGTTCCCATCGCCGGGGGGGGGGGGGGGGGGGGAGGCAACAAATCCACTCGGTAGAATCATCTATAGTCTTCGGAGTGAATGACAGAGATTAAAACTTC